CCATTATGTAACAGAAGGTTGTAAACTATAAGAGTAGACAACAAAACCGTCACATTTATAAGTATTTCTGTCTAAATAGGAACACTAACTTTATAAACCATCATTAATATTTTTAAATCAGTTATTTGACAGATGGGCAGCTGGTGTAAAGACCTCAGAACTGGACTGATATGATCCACATTTTTGGAGAGAGGTGAGGACTATGAATTCAAATTCCTTATTAAAACACAGCCAGGTAAAACTAGTTCTACTACATGCTTTAAACTTTCAGTAGGTAAAACAATTAATTTAGTTTTTGCAGCTTAATAAAAGACAAGGTCCAATGCTAACAAAGTTTCTGGAAGGAAAGGTTACTGCAGATTTCATCCACTAGATGGTGCCATAGCCTTTGTAATGTGCTACAAATACACTAGAATATAAGCAGAAATTTTGAACTATCTTCAAGTGCTGTAGTTAATTTGCACCAACTTTCAATTTGCAGATTATATATAATATTAACTGAACAAAACATAATACAAACTTGTTCATAACATTGTATTGTTATATATAGAATTGTATATATAGAATAGGCCTTGTGCTGCTGTTTAACCATTTGATGTGTATGTGGGCTTGGCGGTGTGTTTGGTTTGTGAGATTGAGTGTGATGTAGTTTTAGTGTATAAACAAGTTCAAAGCAGACCAATGGAAACAGTGATAGCTGCCATTAACTTGGCCAAGTTGTCTCCACACTTTCCTTGAAGCATCTGGTTTCGGAGTCCATGAACTTTGGTGGAACAACTGCTGCTACTGATGTCCATGAAAAGTTTTTGTATAAGCAAATATATACTTATTTGGGATAGTCTATGCTATTGCAAAGGTATTAGCAACATTTTTGAGGTTGTACATAATGATGTGTTCCTCCAGGGCAACAGCGACATCCACAATTTCTTATGCCAGCAACTCTTGCTAGCATCCAACTTCCTCTGGAACAATGAGAAGGCCAGTGTTCACTCCTGATGAGCCTTTTGTAGAAATTTGGGTTAAAACTAGATAAAACTGTTTTGCCTCTACAGTTTTTTTAAAGTACAAACTTCTCAGCTGACACCCATCGTCAACCGCTTATCCCGCTTACAGGGTCATGGGGGGCTGGAGCCAATCCCGGCTGACATTGGGCGAAAGGCGGGGTACACCCCGGACAGGTCGCCAGTCCATCGCATGGCCACACATAGACGATTAACGTAGCCTGCATATCTTTGGATGGTGGGAGGAAGCCGGAGCACCTGGAGAGAACATGCAAACTCCACACAGAAAGGCTAGGGCAAACGGGGTTTGAACCCACAACCTTCAGCGCTAACCACTGCACCACCAACCTTCTCAGCTGACATAACTTAAGTTGATTAATATCTTGGATAAATATTATATCCATATAATAATATTGCTTAAAAGATTACCCTCCTGTGTGTTTTTACAGTAACACTTTTAATGACAAAAACAAGGCTGGAACATGTAGGCCTGTACTTGTATTGAAAACAACCTCTGGTTCCACACTCCAGTCCAGTTGGTGGCGGCAATGCACCTCTTGGCTAGTTTGGCAACCGGCCATAAAAAAAGGAGAAGTAGTAGTTTGAGTGAAAAAATTCAAGCTTGACGGTGACGAGCTTATCATCAACGTTGTGCGCTGGCACCCGAACTTCTCTTCTCCCTCGTCTCTCTCCGCCGACAGAGATTAGCAGGCAGGTGAGAACGGGAAGAGGTGAGCGTCAGGAAGCGGCCAGAGAACCAGATATGGAGCGGGCCGGGGAGAGGACCGGCAGCTTGGGAGAAGTCCCGGTACGCCAAAGAGGAAAACATTGAGGTTCCAGTACTGCATACTGTTGCATCCACTTCAAGCACTGTGAATGCCCATTAAAAACTTTGCAAAGTTTAACCACTGTGACAATTTCCCCCAGTCTGCCTGCCTGTGTGTCTTCTCTGTTTTGCAGATGCTGGGTGTGGCTTGTAGGTGGAGCTGGGAGGGTCCAATGCATGTACCTTCCCCTCTGGGTTGGGCTTCCTAGGGCCTTTCTCATTTCTCATTTCACTGATACAACTTATGAATACAACAGGAATGCTGCAGCGTCCTGCTCCGGCTGTGGGTTGGTCCAGCTGCTTGTCACACCTCTTGTAAACATCACAGCGGCTGAAAAGACTTCAGCAGAGGATACGCCGATGCATCCTCGCTTGTAGCTCCTCCAGCAAGCCTCCACGATCCTCGCTCCTCGCTCCTTGATCCTCGCTCCTTGATGTGCATTTTAAGAATTGAGATGTCCTTCAAGATGGCATGCTGAGATCGATTTCCGGGTCACACGCTCGAGAATCGAGGAGTCAAGCAGACAGAAATTCAAGCGAGGATCGAGTATTGAGGAGCAAGGAAACGACAAATAAGAGACTTGAGAAGCACCCAATCACTACAAAATACCACAAGAAGAAAAGAGGCAAACATACACAAGGATGGATCCAGCGCCCTGGGATGGGAATGGGACCAGGCCGTCTGCTGTGGTAACCAGTGTCTCCCCTTCTGTCTCCCAGTCCATCTCACTTTGACTCATTTTCCTTCAGCAGTTACATGATTTGCAGCAACAATGCAGCAGAAAATAATGCCTACTTTGCACATATATTTCACAGTATTTATCATCTTAATGGGCATTTGAGATGTGGTTTGTGATATTTAATGTTTCGTCTCTCAAATGTAACAAGCTGAGATCCTTTTGAGGGTCAAGGTAGTGTTTTAGTACTCGAGACCGGTCTTGGTCTTAAGACTGCTTTTTGATGGTCTTGGTCTCGTCTCGGACTTGACTGCATTTGTGCTCGGTTTTGTCTCGGTCTCGGACATTGAGGACTCGGGATTTTATTTCAAGACCAGAACTTTGGGAATATCAATAATTTGCTTTTGCGTTGTCTGATTTGTTAACATCTTAACTTTGATTGGAAGTAAAACATATTGCTTCAAATGCAACCAATAACCCTAATTAACGACTGTCACCCCTTCCTGCGATGCTTACGTTGATTTCAGCTCTTAGTGTTTGTATGTGGATGTAGGGTGTGGCGATGACATAAGACTATGCCTTTGGTATGAGAGACCTGGGTTCAATCCCCGACTGTGACCCATTCACTATTGTGTTCTTGAGCATGTCACTTAACCCCTTGTTGCTCCAGAGGTGTGCGACCTCTGAAGTACATAGCAATTGTAAGTCGCTTTAGATAAAATCTAAATGAATAGATGTAATGTGGGTGTTTTAATGGGATTGTAGATCTTTCAGATCGATTTGAGAAAGTATCTATGATCTCGTTCCACATTTTATTGCGGGCCATGCAATGCAGGGAACTGGTCTTGGTCTTGACTCAGTCTCGCCCTCCCTCGGTCTCGGTCTCGACTGCTCTCAGCACCTAAAAGTCTTGGTCTTTTCTCGGTCTCAATAAACTCTGGTCTTGGTCTTGACTTGGTTTCGGTTTGGGCGGTCTTGATTACAACACTAGGTCAAGGTTTTAAGGTCATTCAAAGTGGATTTCTGCAGAAAAACAGTGATCAGAGGAGAGAATCAGAGACACATGGAGCAGATTTGATTTCAGCTCTTGGAAGTCAGATTCATTTAAAAAGTATAGCCAACATAAAAAATGTGTGTAAAACCATTTTACATAATTTAAAAACCAAATGATCCAAAATGTGGGAGCTCTCAACTGAAAACTGAAAACCGCTGTCATCATTGTAATCTTTATTGATTTATATATTGTTGTATTTTATTTTTATGGCGGCCTTGTAAAGCACTTTGTAATTGTGCTAAATAAATCCATCCATCGTCCGCCGCTTATCCCAGTAAAGGGTCGCCGGAGCCCATCCCAGCTGACATTGGGCGAAAGGCAGAGTTCACCCTGGACAGGTCGCCAGTCCACCGTAGGGCCACAAATAACCAGTCTTTGGATGGTGGGAAGAAGCCGGAGCACCGGAGAGAACCCACGCACACACGCCGGGGCGACCGGGCACAACGACCGGGGTTCAAACACACGACTTCCTGTGAGGTGACAGTGCCAACCACTGCCACACTGTACCACCGGCTATATAATGACCTTCATTATTATTATCAACATGTAAAAAGATGAAACCCTCACTGCACATTATACAACCTGCGATCTAGATTCAAATATTACAATTACACAGAAAATTATGGTTTTCCACAAAACGTGGTTATTTTGCTCAAACCAGGCATTTCCCATCATGCCACTCTGATTCTGCGCAGGTGTGAGAGGTAAACTGCTGGTCAGCAGATTGTTCAGTTCTTCAGAATATAGTCTGTGTTAGTGTAAGGGGCCCCACAATTGTTTTTTTTGTTTGTTTTTTTTAAAAGTTTTCTATTCAATTTCAAAATTGCATATGTAGCGGGGTTCTTTTTCCTGAATACATCCTGATAAAGGTGTGCTGCAATGTTATTTAATGCTCAACAGCAGTAGGACGTATTGAAACGCTCTGCACGTTGGTGAGTGAGCAACGATATGTAGTAGGAGAAGAAGAGCTGTTCTGCTCTGTGTGTTGTTTTCCCCCGTGATCAAAAAGAGTTACAAGAAGACGCTATTAGCTTTAGGCAGCCGAGAAGTTCACAGGCAGGTAAAAGTTAGCAATAAAACTCCACTACAAGTTCTCAAGCGCCTGTCTGTGTTTCCTGGCTGCAACACAGGTCTGGCTCATGTCAAACCTAATGCTCAGCTCACTGCGTGTGTGTGCACGTTAACAGTTTAACCATTAGAAACAAGTGTGAACAGTGTTTGTGTGTAAACCACGTTCAGCTTCAGCCAGCTCTGTTTAATATTCAGCTTCACAGCGGAGAAGTTGTTTTAGGGAGTGACACTGCGTTAAAGCGCGTTTAACGATTCAAGAGGCGGCTTCAGTGCTGTGAGCATCCGGTTCACACATTCACACCTGTGATCACCAAACATTTCTGCTTCCCTGTTAATGTGACATCACAGGGATGGAGACAACACACCAGTCATACGTTGAAAAACCCAGCAGACTGTTAAACAACCCGCTGGGTCTGACTCGTGTTTAATGAAGTGAAAATAATTCATCAACACAAAAGTGTTAAATGTTAAAACAGGTTAGAACCGGCCTTCAAGCCCGTCGGAGCACAAAGTTTCTAACATCACTCGGTCACATGTGGCGTTCTCTGGAAATGATCAGAGCGTTAGTGCTCTGAATATCCGTCGTGCATCAGTTTATTAGACAGTGAAGAGAAAACCAGGTTACTGATGGAAGTGTCGATGTGTTGCAGATTTCCTGTCAGAACCGTGATCATCCTCCAAACTAACAGCGTCATCAGATGAAACGTCAGTCTGCTGTTCTCAGCCTCATGTGCGAATGACGAAACTATGTGTTACATTTGTCAACAAATCTCATGTTCAGACTCAAAGCAACACGATTGTGTCCACTAACAAGAGCTGATATATCTTATTCCTCTGTGCCAAACTAACATCTACTGCTTTAGGAACATTTCTCAAATAAAACTTTTACTTAAATAACATTTAGAAGAATAAAGAGAGCGGCGTTAGCGAGGAGAAAGCAGTGAACCAGATCTTGTTTCACGGCAGCTACATCCTAAAGCACATGAACGCGGCCACGCCTCCACGTGACCTGCGGGAAGGTTTCTGTGTGAATGCTGTCTGTAACTGCTCGCTACGACATCACGACGCCCAGAAACGTCCCGAACAGCAAAATAATAAGAAAACACAGGCAGCGTTTGGCGTCTCTGCAGACACAGACACGCCAAACGCTGCCGCTGCTCACACGTGATACCGAGAGGGATTCTTCTTCTTCCACAGTTTTGTTTGGAATATACTTCATATTCTATATATTATGCCTTTAAAGGTGCCGTAGAATGGAAAACTGTATTTATCTCGGTGTTGTTGAATAAAAAAAAAGTTCAGAACATGGAGCTGATGCACCGTGAGCCTCGGTCTCCTTCATATGTAAACCTCTCACATGCAGAAGGCCCCGTAAAAAAAGGGGCTAGATGTGATGTAACATCTGGGATCTTTAATGTTTACGCCTCAAGAAGGTTTCAGAGACCAGCCCGCGTTCCAGAGAAGCGGTCATGCGAGCTGATGGAGCTGGAGGTCGTTCAGAGTTTTTACGGTTCTGAAGGAAAGGGAAGTCTTTTGTGGTTTTTCCTCTGATGTCCTCTGGCTTTCCTTTTTGCTTACCTTACAGTAACTGCTAGCTGCTGCTAACGCTAGCTGCTGTGATCAGCTGGCTCTGAACCAGCGGTCCAAAGTTTCTGTACTGATGTTAGATGTGGAAACGCCAACACGCCCCCGGAGCACCGAGCTTCCAGTCCGGGTAGAATCAGCAACAGGATGACTAGCTGCACAGCTAACTGAGCGGCTAGCAGCAGCTGCTGTTAGCAGTAGTTAGCAGCTAAACTACCCGCTAATCCATCAACCAGAGACTGAAGTTATAAAGTTTTGTTTCTGCAGTTAGGCCCCGCCCCTCTGCTGTGCTTGGGGAACTTCGCCAATCAGAAGCAACTGGGCATTCGGGGGTGGGGGGGCTTAAAGAGACATGAATTAACACTGAGTGTTCAGACAGAGGCTGAAAAGAGGAGCTGGAGCTACGATGACAAAAATAATGTGTTTTTTTAAACATTTAACACTTAAAAACATTAAGTCTGAACCTGAAAATGACGATTCTACGGCACCTTTAAGTAAATGATCTAAATATTTATTCATGGGATTTGATAACAGTTGTGATGTGACGCTAATGGAACAAGATGCAGCTTCATATAAAACATTCACAGTGGGAACAAATCTCAGAAAACACATGAAGCTTAGAGTCACTCTGTCATGTTGCCATGACAACGTCTGACCTGCTGGGGGGCGGGGCTTAAGGATGGCGATGAGCGTCCATTTGTCTGTCCCATACCTTGGTCCACAAACACAAAGACGCCAGCGACATATTACACTGTTCAACACATGTGTTCAAAGCTTCAAGCGGCAGCAGGAAGCAGGCCGGCAGGCATCAGCTGATCCTCACAGGGCTGCTCTGAAGTTAGGTCATGTGACCACATCAGATCAGCTGACTGGATTAAATCCATCCACATGTGAAGTGACATAAACGCTCTGTAGGATAATACGATAAAACCAATGTGATCTGTTAGAACAGACAGAAGTGGGTCCGGGACCGAAGGTTCAGGTAAAAGATTCAACGAGGAAGTGACATCATACTTTATGGTGCCGCCTCCTGCAGGTCTGTCATGAATCTCAATGCTGCTCGTCAGTATGAACTCTTCACATGTCCTCGTACAGCAGCATGCCGCTGAAGATGGTGAGCGGCTCCACAGAGTGGGCCAGTTTGCCCATCACCAGGTCGATGCAGACCGTGTCCCGAGTCTGCAGAGGCAGGATGATGTTGAAGACGGCGAGAGATCCCGGGGTGGTTTTAGCCTCGGCCACAGGGTTGTTCTCTAGACCTTCAGGCTGGTAGCCTCCGGAGTCCACGCGGGCCATGCCGTAATTAGACTTGGACAGAACTGCCTCGATCTTCTCCTTCTTATGTCCGGTTAGGATGGCGCTGAAGAAGTAATGTCCGTCTATGGGGGCGGTGAAAATACCTGGAGGTGACAGAGTCGCTGTGTTAAAGCTCGGATCAACACCAGGAAACATTTAAACAGTTAAATATTTGTGACACGTAAAACAGGTGCAGGTGATTCGCTGGGCCATCAGGAGCGGCGTGGGCTTCGGCATCGCCCCTCGGTTTTACCTGTTTTCGGGTCGTAGAAGTCTCCTTCATTGACAAAGATCTTGTCAAAGACGATGGTTCCGGCCCTCTCCATGGGAAACGTGAGAGCGGCAGAGAAGGACAGTCTGGGTACGTGAGCATCGACACCAGGCAGCCCTGAAAACACACATTCAAGAAATCACCGGTTGGATCACAGCAGAATGTGGATCTGGGGACGCCTCACGTTTCACTTCATCTTAGCAGGGGTGCGGACTCGAGCCACAAATATGACGACTTTAGACTCGACTCGAAAATCAAAGAATACTTGCATCTCAACTTTGACTTTAGCACCAACGTGACTTCACTGAGCTCGAGCTGACTCCTCATGTCCAAACATGATATAAAAGCACTGTGCAGCGTGTCAACATAGTCAAATTTACTCTTAATTAGCCTTTAATTCGACTTTGGTTTCCACCGATTATAAAATAAAAAGTTCATTAAGATAAAATGCTGTTTCACAATGACACTCGTTTGGTCTCTTAAATCCAGCTCTCCTCTTTCCAGCTGAGAAGCCCAGACTCCCTTCAGCGTACAGCATCTGTACTCGTTACTGAGGAGAAGTATTAATACACGCTATCTGTACTCTGAGGAGAAGTATTAATACTCACCATCTGTACTCTGAGGAGAAGTATTAATACTCACCATCTGTACTCAGCGTTACTGAGGAGAAGTATTAATACACACCATCTGTACTCTGAGGAGAAGTATTAATACACGCTATCTGTACTCTGAGGAGAAGTATTAATACACGCAATCTGTACTCTGAGGAGAAGTATTAATACACACCATCTGTACTCTGAGGAGAAGTATTAATACACGCTATCTGTACTCTGAGGAGAAGTATTAATACACGCTATCTGTACTCTGAGGAGAAGTATTAATACACGCTATCTGTACTCTGAGGAGAAGTATTAATACACGCTATCTGTACTCTGAGGAGAAGTATTAATACACGCAATCTGTACTCTGAGGAGAAGTATTAATACACACCATCTGTACTCTGAGGAGAAGTATTAATACACGCTATCTGTACTCAGCATTACTGAGGAGAAGTATTAATACACGCTATCTGTACTCAGCGTTACTGAGGAGAAGTATTAATACACGCTATCTGTACTCAGCGTTACTGAGGAGAAGTATTAATACACGCTATCTGTACTCTGAGGAGAAGTATTAATACACGCAATCTGTACTCTGAGGAGAAGTATTAATACACGCAATCTGTACTCAGCGTTACTGAGGAGAAGTATTAATACATGCTATCTGTACTCTGAGGAGAAGTATTAATACACACCATCTGTACTCTGAGGAGAAGTATTAATACACACCATCTGTACTCTGAGGAGAAGTATTAATACTCACCATCTGTACTCAGCGTTACTGAGGAGAAGTATTAATACGCACCATCTGTACTCAGCGTTACTGAGGAGAAGTATTAATACACACCATGTGTACTCAGCGTTACTGAGGAGAAGTATTAATACACGCTATCTGTACTCTGAGGAGAAGTATTAATACACGCAATCTGTACTCAGCGTTACTGAGGAGAAGTATTAATACACACCATCTGTACTCAGCGTTACTGAGAAGTATTAATAATACTTTCACATATTTAGACTATTTTATGTGTCCGAGAAACAGGGAGCCAGGGTCGGGGTTCATAACCGAGAAAATAAATCCTAGATGAAAGTGTCAAATTTACGAGAACAAAAATCAGAAATTTACTTCCGAATACGGCCAATCCACAGCAAAGTAAGGTGCATGATAGTGATTGTGGGTTAAACCGAATGCAAAGTCTAATATAACTTTTCACTGCATGCATACTACACGGCAGACGTGTGAGTGATGCTGCAGCCTTGCAAAGTGAAGCTTCTCTCATAAATGTGTGAGTTTTTTTTAACTTGTAGATTAATCGTGGAAATTAAATTTTCTCTCAGATTATTCCCCCTCTCCGCTGCCTCCTTTTCTTTAATTACAATGGACCGTATGTGCAGTTGTACCTTTACATCCTAATCATATTACACATAAAAGAAGAGCCCATAAAACACATAATGGAGAATCAGCCTACAGAGAACACCGTGAAGATAATTACAAATTTATTCAATGCGATGCCTCCCTGGATTAGACTTTGACTTGACCGTTAACGTGTCTTTAAACTCCTCATATCCTGACACCATCAACGTGCATACTTCTGGGGGAAATATGGAGCACGCGGCGTTCAGAAGCCTGCATGGCTTTTATGACAACACGCACCAACTCCAATTAAGTTAACACCGACTCAACTAACCGACATCTTATTCACCCTCGTTTGGCATATTGCATTTATAATCATTTAAAAAAACAAAGTATTACAATTTAAAAATTCTATTAATGAATGATGTTTCCTAAGTCAATGACTGTTAAATAACTGTTTTCTCATTATGACTTGTTTAAGACTCCAAACTCAAAGTTTAGGACTTGACTCGGACTGTTTCGACTGGTCTGGACTTGGAACTCCACTTGAGTGCTGAGACTTGAGAGATTTACTTGTGACTTTTAAAACAATAAAAAACTTTTTATTTTTTAGTGAAGCATTCTGAGGCTACAGAGGTGTCGAAGGTTAGAGGACCCGGTTTAAAGCAGACAGTGACGGGTCTGTGTGACTCTGCAGTCGAGCCTCTCGCTGTCATTATAAAACTGTTCACAGATCTGCTGCTGTTGCGTCTCAGAATGAGAAAGGTTATCCAACGCTACTGACAGACACACGTTTCCTGCTGTGGAAAACCACGTACCTGACGCACCTCGTTCACCTTTGGGACCTGTAAGAAACCAGAGCAGAGGTTAGCAACAATCCAAGATGAATTTAGTTCCTCTACACTGAAATGTACTGAATATGTCGTACCGGGCAGACCTCGCGCTCCACTTTCACCTTGTCGTCCAGGAGGTCCGAGGGGCCCTTGTGGACCCGGCAGCCCATTGATGCCTCTCTCTCCCGGGGGTCCAGGGGGCCCTTGGGGTCCCGGCAGGCCTGTGTGATAATATGAACAAAAGTATTAAACTGAGGGGTTTGAATGTGTTTTGTGAAGGTGAAGCTAGCTCACAGATCCACACAGAAACCCTCTGTTAACAAAGTGTTAGCGTGTTAGCGTGTTAGCGTGTAGCTGATTTATCACAGCAAAGCAGCATTTCAGAATCGAACATGGAGCAGAAACAACAGAGCTCTGTGGGGCCTGCAGACCTTTTCTTATGGCACCATCATCAGATAAAAATGATTGAAGTTAGTTGTTAAAGATTGAGGGAAGCAAAGCAGTCTAAAGATATATCTGGTTTCACAGCTGTTTCTAAGGTTCCTGTAAGATGGTGCCAGTTGAGGTCTTGGTGAATTTTGTTTCAAATAGCTAGAATTTTATCATTAAAGAAGCTCATGAAGTCGTAACTACTGAGAGCTATGAGAATAGTTGGCTCAACAGAGCTGTGACTCAGTGCTGAAAAGAAACCTGGGGTTGTTCCTATTTTCATCAGCACCAGATAGCTGACAAGCATTTTGTATGACGACATTTCATGTGGGAACTTCTACAATGAGCCTGTGGAAAAGTTCATTTACTGTAAACAGGTTAATCCATTTTGGTCACCAAGACAAAGTCAAACAACAAGACATGAAAATTCTGTTTTACACATCATGACTTTTCACTGGAGGACTGAAGCAGCTGAGAAAGAACACAAACAGACTGTCTGAACTTGAACTGTCCACCACAGAAAAGAAGAGTAGAGTCCGGCTCACCGGTCATCTCGCGCTCAGAGAAACTCTGCAGCTCTTTGAAGACCTGGTTCAGGCTCGAGTTCAGATTCTTCATCTTGCTGTAGACCTCTTCTTGGTTCTTCTGAATGAAGTCCATGATTCCTCCGTGTTGGACGACTGAGTCATTCAGACCAGAAACACACGTCCACAAGCTCGACACATGTCGGTTCAGTCCTGAATATGGGACCCGGCACAGCACGGGGGGTTAAGCTGTAGACATGGACTTGCTTTTGGTTATATTCATTCCCAAACAGTCAAGAACGCACGCAAGTTTCTCTTAAATGTACAATGGAGTCGCCGACTCTGCCTATCGTCCAATCACTGGGGAATAAGACGGACGAATCGCGTCATCTGTGTGAATGCAGGGACGCTTGTCTGGTGGCACTGATGGAGACATGTCCATCAGACGCTGGCTCAGATACAGAGTGTTGGGCAAGTTACTCAGAAACTGTAGGAAGTTACTGGCTACTAATTACTCCTTAAAAAAGTAATATTACATTTCTTATTACTGCGTGATAAAAGTAACTGGTTACGTTACTGTAGTATAGTACTGTAGTACTATACTACAGTACTACAGTACTCATCCTAAGGCCAACGCAAAAGCTGCAGCGATCACCAAATTCAAAGAGGTACAGAAACTTTAATCTACCGCCGATACCCCAAAGCATACTGGGAAATTTTAACCACTGTAAGACTTAGAACAGATTCAGCGCTGGACCTTTACAACACGGGACACACCACAGGACAGGACACACCACAGGACAGGGCAGGACACACCACAGGACAGGACACACCACAGGACAGGACACAGAACAGGGCAGGACACACCACAGGACAGGACACACCACAACACGGGACATACCACAGGACAGGGCAGGACACACCACAGGACAGGACACACCACAGGGCAGGGCAGGACACACCACAGGACAGGACACACCACAGGACAGGACACACCACAACACGGGACATACCACAGGACAGGGCAGGACACACCACAGGACAGGACACACCACAGGGCAGGACACACCACAGGACAGGGCAGGACACACCACAACACAGGGCAGGACACACCACAGGACAGGACACACCACAGGAGAGGACACACCACAGGACGGGACACACCACAGGACAGGACACACCACAGGACGGGACACACCACAGGACGGGACATAACACCATATGGGATAAACACTCAAAACACAAAAAATGACTGTACCTTCCTTGATCTTGAGGATGGAGTCAGAGACACCGTCCAACCTCCCACAGACTCCCTCCAGCTTCGACAGCCTCTTCTCCAACCCTTCTCCAGACCTCTTACAGTCTCCTATTTCCACCAGCAGCGTGCTCTCGAACCGCTGGACATCCCGACCCATCCCGTCCAGGCGCTCCCCGCTCTCCTCGATGTGCTCCGTCACCTCCTGCTGGATTTTGTCCAGCTCAGAGATGATCTTATCCTTGGTGTTTCCTGTCAGAGGATGAATAAATGTTAGCCAAGAAAGGCTGAGCAATGAATCCAGAGACTCTGTATTTCTGAGCCGGGCTCACCAAGGTCGGTGATGACGCTGCCGTGTTTCTGCACCGTGTGTTCGAGCCCCTTCAGGGTATCGTTGATGGAGCTGAAGGTGAGGATGACCTCGGACAGCTCGCCCTGCAGTGTCTTCAGCTGGTTGTTGTTGATGGAGCCTCCGATCACGCTGTGGCCATCTAGAGGCTTCTCAGCATCCAACCCAGGTCCACGTCCACTGGTACCACCAGTGCTACCAGAACCGCCACCTAGCAGGGGTTTAGTTTGCAAAAGTTTTCTTTCAAATGTTTAACCTTCTGTAAATAACTGAAACAATATTCAAACTAAAGGTAAGAACAGCAGATTTGTGGCTGGTTGGTTTTATAATTTGAAGTCAGACATGTGGAGTTTGATGAAGGCCATAAACAGAGTGAGGATACTCTGCCTGACAAGACAAACTTCAGGGAACCAAAGGCCCACAAATGTGAACAAACCTGGATGTTTCATGCAGGGCCAACAGTTTTTGTGGAAAAAGGCAGTGAAATACAGAATTTGGTTTGTGATAGGACGAGCAGTGATTCTGGGGTGTGAGCTCACGAGATCGAGACAAGACAAGAGATTTTAATACTATTTTTAAGAAATGAAGCTGAATTATATGAAAATCTTGAGCATTAATTTCCTACATTCTGGTGAATTCTTCTGCACCAATAGGTTAGGTTAACTTTATTGTTGTTAACTTTAAATTCTGCTTGGGCACAGCGTAGTGTTGGTTCATAAGAACCATCAACAAGAGCCTGAGAAGCATTGACGTGTTTTACTTCACACGAGGAAAATATAAACACAGAAGAAAAATGACATTGTTGACAACATGGATTCCATTCCATTGATTAAAGTGCATGTGCTAAGGTGCTAGTATGTTCATTGCACATTGATATAGTGCACCGAGATCACAAGTGCTAAAGTGCTCACATATTTATTGCACACAGCTCTATTCAGCAGCTTAATGGAAGGCGGCATAATTGATAATTGCATGTTGGTACACAGAGTCTTCTTCCTGATGGCAGGGTTTTGTATTCAGGGAAGAGGGGAGATTTAAATTTTCCTGGCCTGTTTCATAACTGCCTGGTCATACAGGCTCTGGAAAGACTCCTAGTCTCTCCTCCCTATAGTTTCCATGCCTGTTTTGTGCATGTTAGCAAACTTGTTTTTCAACTTAACTGTTAACACTAAGACCGCCAACATTCTAGCACCCCCTGCAGGCGCCGCAACGGTCATGTGCAGGAAGCAGTTTGTTGGGAGGGATGGTGGAGATCCATATACAGAGTCCCTGCCTCTGCTGAAGCATTTTAAGTCCTGGTTCCTAAGTGATTTATACTGCTTCACCCATAAACCTCATAAAATATCCAAATAAAATATTCTTTTTAAAAGACAGGGGCGACACGCTGCGGATGACCCATCCACAGGACAGCAGACAGAAACCTGTCATCAAAGCAGGCTGTTTTCTTAGTCTGACAGCCTATTTATGTTTATGATGACGGCACCGTGCGTTATGTGCATTCAATTATCTCCTGCTGCTGCACGTCTCACTTCTAAATGGACCACTTTGCTTTACAATAAAACCACACTCATATATAACATGTAATGTTGTAAAAACTCACCGTATATGGTAATAATGTATAATATGGCAACTGCGGTCTATATGACCGTGGTGGCGGTCAGCGGTATATTTGCTCAGAAATCTTGTGTGTTTTATTTTAGTACCTTCTAAGATACAGAAAACTTTAAACACATATTTAGGAAAAGTCAAGGGCTGACTTTTTTTAGTTATTTGCATTAATAAAACCTGACCAGGCTGTTCTAGTGTTAAGTTGCCGAACAATACAGTGATTCCATATCTGATGACACTCTCTAAGAAATCCTCATGATGTGAATGCTCACACCATACAACCTGAAATGCCTTAAAAAATAAAGCCTCTGCTGCAATTTGTTGCACAGCTTGTCAAGGTGCCTCGGGTCAAAGACCATCTCCTCTGTTTTTTGGAGGTTGCAGGCTGCAGGTTATCGATTCAAACTCTTACCCTCTAACAGAGTCTAACTCAGTGCAGCTCTCAGATCTGTTTCTCCTGTAGATCTACTTCTTTAATATCTGCTGAGTCATGATTTAGTCTTCCCTCTTCTTCGTGTCTTTGTTTACCTCTTTAAATGTGACTGTGGTTCCTTTTCACCTCAATGAGAAATTAATTCATTGTAATCAGTTAGAAACTCCTGGACTCCTGTGTTCAAAACTTTTCACGTTAAACACTGGTTCTTCACTGCGTGAGAAAGTTGATGTGTGGCGTGAGAGCGTGTGAAAAATGCAGATTGCGTGAATCTTGCGAGATCTCGTCACACCCCGACTAAATACATTAGTTAACATGGTTAAAAGTGTAAAGAACTTTGGTCAATTTAAACTTATTTGGAATGTCTATCCATACGTGAAACACCTGAGCACTCAAAGATTTTCTTTCTCATGAGAACAAGATGCAAGAATGAGAAAACAAGGGTGAAGTGAACAATCACTGGATTGGTTGATCTGACCTGAGGGTGTGTCCGGCCCGGTTTTACATTGGCCGGTGCACCTGCTGACGTCGTCTCGCAGCAGGCGGACCTCGTCCTCCAGGTGCGAACAGATCTGGGAGCAGCCTTCTCCCCCTGAGTCCAGTCTGACCTGAAGGCTGTTGATGTGGCTCTGCATCAGCCCCAGTGCATCCTGGGAATGATTCTTTAGCCTCTGCAGCTCGTCCTCCACCTTCCCGCACAGCTCGCAGTCCTGGCCCAGCAGCTCCACCTCTGTCACGATGCGACTGAAGTGTTCGCCGTGATCCCCCGTCAGAGCCTTGATCTTCCGCACGTCGTGGCTCAGGTCCACAACCTCGAGACCATTTACATGTTAATATTCATAACGATCAAACAGTAACGGGGAAGTTATCCTTTTAATCAACAACAGAATTTAATAACTTTAATGTGTTCAGACTGGTTTATGTGTCTGTCGTCAAGGTCATCCTCATTCTTCACTGTGTTTAAATCTGTCTGTATTTGTATCTGCACTTCCCTTCAAACATCACCAGGTGATTACAGGCGCGTAAAAGCTCTCACCTTGTCGTACAGAGAGTCTCCGGACACCGACAGGTCTTTCAGTCGAGTGTTAAAGTGTCGAATCTGATCCTCGTTGGCGACCACTCTCCACTCCAGAGACTTCTCTGTTGTATTTTTTCTTTCTCCCCCCATTCCAGACAGTCCTCCTCCTCCTCCTCCTCCTGTTGTTCCACCTCCATCTCCCCTACCTCCTCCATCTCCTCCTGTTGTTCCTCCTCCATCTCCCCTACCACCTCCACCTCCTCCTCGTCCTCCCCCCTCAGAACCTCCACAGCTGCACTCCTCCAGCCTCCGGCTCAGGAGGGAGGTATTGTTTTCCAGCTTCGACAGCCTCTTGTGGTGCTCGCTCACCCTGTCCTTCACCAGCCCCACTTCCAGCTCCACGTCTGCGATCCTGAAAGCCTGGTCATCGAAGCGGTCCAGGAACACGGCCCTCAGGTCTCCCAGTTCTCTGTGGAAGTAGTCCTTCAGGTCGTTCTCCAGGTATGAGCAGCTCTGTTCAGTCCGCTGCACAGTACTGTTGATCCGCCGCTCCAGGTCTTTCAGTCGACCGTCCAGTCTGTCCTCCGTCACCACGACATCCCTCCTACCTCCCCCTACGCCTCCATCAAAACCTCCTCCTCCCCCGCTGAGCTCCTTGTCCAGGCGGTTCTGCAAAACATCAAAGTCCTCTGAGGCCGAGCTGATCTTGCGCTCAGCGTCAGTGATGCGGTCCTGGAGGTCACCGACGGCGTCGCAGCATCCCTGCGAACGCTCCACCTCTCGTCGCAGCCCGTCCAGGCCCTGCCGGTACCGAGCGTCCATGGCATTTAGCTGCTTCTCCAGAGCTCGAATACTCTCCCTGTCCGCCTGCTGCTGTCTGCGCAGATCCTCCACGCCGGCCTGCAGAACACACAACAGTGAAATCCATCTTACTGACCTAGACATGTTGGCTTCAGCCCTCAGGGGGTCGGGGGCCTCATGTTGTTTTGGATTACTGGCTCATTAAAGGAGGTGGATGTGATACCTGACAGGAAGAGCAGGACAGCGACACCCTCCTCTCCAGCTCCCTCAGGATCTCCTCCCTCAGCGAGCTCAGCCTCTCTCCACTCAGTCCTCCTCCGTCCAGCTCATTTCCTTTCCCATTGACCAGGTGGTTGCTGATGTTGACCAGGGTTTTATCGTGGGCCTGTTGGCGACACATCAGCTACAGTTTTCATTAAAATTCTATGGCATTCAATTTTTATTTCATAACAGATCTCATAACAGCGACCGCAGTTATCATCCCTGGGGCCAGAGCGGGTGGCGTTGAATCCCGACTGAGTGTAAATAGGGAAGATTTTTATTCACGTCGGCGATAACGACTCCCGGTTAAGCCAATCGGAGGTCACTAAGATTAATATTGAGTCGTGTGCACCCCTGCCAAACATGTATAGCCTCATTCCACCGCTGGCTGTCGAGGTGGTATCCAGCAAACGATGTGGGCTTTGTAGATCATTGGCAGACTTTCTGGGGAAGACCTGGTCTGATTCGGAGAGACAGCATCCATCCCACTTGGGAAGGAGCAGCTCTCATTTCTAGAAATCTGGCCAAGTTTATTAGCGGACCAAATCCATGACAACCCAGAGACCAGGAGGCAGAGTCGCAGTCTAACACACTTCTCTGCTCCTCCATTTCAGGAGTTACTTAGTGAAAACCCCATAGTGACGGCGTCTGCCCCCTCCAACAGTACAAAAGAATAGGAGAATGAAATGTGGACTCTTAAACAGCAGATCTCTCTCCTCTAAAGGTGTACTAGTAAATGAATTAATATCAGATTATAATATTGATTTATTTTGTCTTACTGAGTCCTGGCTGGCTGATGGAGAATATGTTAGCCTAAATGATATAACTGGTATAACGATACGTTTTTTTTCCTGGAAATTTGTCCCAAAAACTCCTCTCGTCTTTATTTCGGGGTCTAGCACTTTAAATGTTAACTTTCACCCAGAACAACAGATGGCGCCAAATATCAGCAAAGCACATGTTGCCCTCCTGACTGAAGCGTGTCACCGTCCCACCGAAACTGGTGACAGAAGTACCAGTAGAAAGTTTATTTTTCATTTGTGTGGTATTTACTGTAGCCTAAATATCAATATCATTCATTTACAAATGAACTGAATTGAATTGTAGAAGCAGTCTAGGTGCTTGATTTATACACCTGTGGCCATGGAAGTGATAGTTTATAGATGTGTGGATCGATATAGTCTATAAAAATAAATTTGTTTAAGTGTACCGAGCGCCTGGTCCACAAGGTGAAGGGAATATTCATGTAGACGCTGAGAATGACAGCCTTAGCGCTGCGTTCATCATCTCTCTATTAGATTTAATCGGCTTCTCATAAACCGACTCACTGTTTTAACCACACCCTCAGCCTTGTTCTGGTATTGAAATCAAACATTTAATAGTGTTTCCACAGAATCCCTTTTTATCTAACCACAGTTTGATAACTTTTAAGTTCCTACTGCTGGACTACACGCCATTAGGCAGAAATTTCTACGCTTGATGTCTATCTGAAAGTGCTGCAGCTAAATTTTAGTGTAGTGATTAAAGTAAAGTGATTCCATCAGCTTTTACCTCATGACCATGTCTGAATATCAGACAGGACTGCTATGTTAATTTCAGTCCCTCTCAAACTGATCTTGTTGCTGCAGGCTCGCTGTGAACGCGGGAGGAGATGTTGAGAAAAAGTGATGGACTTGTGTCAGATATATTGAATAATATCATTCTTGCCTATTTCTGCTCGACATTTTAGTGAAAGTTGAAAAGTGGTAGCATGTAAGACACATTTGTTATGAATCTTCAAAGTTTTAAACTGTTGCTGTGGCACCAGAATACTGAGCCCACAACGCCAGCAGAGCTTTGGATGTTTATTTTCATGGATGGATGACAGATTTCACCGTAGGAAAAAGAACAACAACAACATTGGGAGCGCTGCCTGATCAATAAAACAATGAGTTTGTGTGCTGACAGAGACCTGACTGACCCTCCAGTACCCACAGGTAGAGTGGAAACAGTGACTCACCTGTGTGCGGTTGTCCAGCTGGTCCAGTTTGGTCTGAATGTTGTGAATTGTCTCTTTTATCTCCGGCTGAGCTGCATCAGCAGGGTTCCTTCCTCCTGAAGAGGAACCTCCTCCTCCTCCTCCGGTGAAGCCCGGTTTGTTGGCCTCCTGCTGCAAGTGTTTATTTAGGGTGGACTGAAGGTCCTGGAGGTTCCTGGTCAGAATCTGGATCTTCTCCTCCAGCTGCTTCATCTTCTCGTTCTCAACTCGTCCTGAAAGAAAAGGAAGAAGCAACTTTTACAGTCCAGTAGAGACGGTGGAGGGGCCGCAGTAAGAGCAGTTCATACTGGTGACCAGCAGAGGTCAGCACAGCTTATAGAAGGTCCGATGGTTTCCAGCAGGTTGGATCCTGAGGAGGGTTCAGTGATCAGCGTCACCGGAAGACTAATTCAAACTTAACATGCTATCTGTACAACATGTGGTCTCTCTGGTGGTGCTTGGTTTATGGAGTTGATCTGGATCCATAATGTGTAAATGTAAAGAATAAGAAGGGTCTCCATCAGCACTGTGCCGGTCTAAAGGGGGAAACCCCTGGACATTAGATCAGGGACGGGCATCACTACTCGCTACAGAAGAGAACTTCAGCTGATACTTTCTGTCACCAGATGGTAGCAGAAAATGACTTTGTGTGGTTTCACTTGCAGCCAAACACACAGAAAGAAAGAGAAGAGCAGCTTTTTCTCCTGATGTGCCTGCACCATTAACCATTAACATTTTTATTTGCAGTTTCCATCACTTGTCACTGATTGATCGCTGCGTTCCATCACACCAGTTCAAGCTTTTGTGGCGCAGCAGCTGATTTTCCTGACGGAGCCTCCAACTGCAGCTGCGGCTGCTTCAGGTGCATCTGCTGGACGTGCAGCTTCTCTTTACTCTGAGAGTCTGTAGTGTAGTTTAGTGACTTCTTTAAACAGACTCTGACTCGAGGTTTGACTCACCACTAAAGGAAAAAGCACTCGGAGATCTTTCACTTCAGTTTATTGATGAAACTATTGAAACTCCCGAGCTTTCCCCGTATATAAAACTACCTGTGAGCTTGAACTAATCAGGACGAGCAGGATCTGTTTCCCAAAACTTTTATGTAGCAGTTATTTGAAACAAGAAAAAATAAAATAGATCACCTTGCTTGTCCATAACAACAGTAAAACTAATAATAGGTGACCAATCAGCTACTACGGCTTCAACAGGTGGCATTTTATGAGAGTGATGAAGTACTGTTGGTATCGGTATCACTGTAAGGGTACTGGTTTTGGTGCAGGTAGCGTAACATTTTAAACGATACCCAACCCTACTTTAGATCCAGTTTGTGGGGCCCATGTGGGTTCATCCTGCTGCTGGTGCGGAGCAGTAACTGAGAAACCTGTCCTCACTAGCTGTGTCGCATTAGAAAAGGATTTCACAAAAGAATTTTTACGCTGGCTTGAGGTGGTTTTTGTCTTTTTGTCGTTCTGCTGTCAGCGTCTTGCTTGACATTCCCATAACGCGCGGAGACATGTCTGGTAGCAGTTTGCCCGCTTGAAACACATTCCTGAGGACCCCTTTCTATTTTTTTAAGCTCAATGGTCATCATGTTCATGCGGCTGGTTTTGTTTCGTATTCGTCTTGTTTATTACAGCCATGTGTGATGCTCGCTGCAACATTACAAAAGTCCGCTTAAAAAAAATAACAATTAGATGGAAACATGGCTACTGTCACCTTTCAGGCTTAGCCACAGGAAATGAGGTCCAAGAGGTTTTTCTGTTGACAATAGGGTCTTTCTAAGGATTTATGTTCAGACGTGTCAAATGAGAATCCACTAACCGCTCTGGCCAGATCCAGAACTGCCTCCTCCCCCCTGTCCTGGTCTGGGCTGAGGTCTGGTGGTGGAAATTTGGGTTCCTGCTCCTCCAGCTGGACCATCGTTGCAGTCTTCTCCACTGTAGCCGTCGCAGCACTTCCACTCCATCTCTGTGACCATTTTGTAGGCCACTTTGTACCGCGGCCTCATGTAGGTCCGATAGCTGCAGAGGTCAGACAGCAGTGAGCTCGATATCGAACAACATACAGTCATTAAATAATCACTGAGTGTCAGGAGAAGAATCAAAGCAAACTCAGGGAACGCACACAACCATCTCTCTAATAAACAGGGTGTGTGTTCTTTCCATTATGTCAGGAACCGTTCATCTTCACACGTGGCGGGGGTGTTGCTGTGGACTCAGGACTCACGTTTGGTGCAATTTGAACACGAAACAGTTCAGCGGGGCTTATATTGCTCCGATCTGCAACAGCAAGAGCCTCCGGAGGCGGGGCTTATTGTCTCCGATATGTGTGTGTGTGTGTGTGTGTGTACTCACACCACCACCCTGCTGCACTGTCCGCTCCCCCAGCTGCAGGGATGATAATCGGGCTTCACGTAGGTTTCCACTCCGTCCTCGACCACACAGCTCACCGTCTTTGTCACAACAAACGCACACCAGTTCCTGTTCAACACACACACACACACGCACACACACACACAGGTTTCAGTCACATGACGAGACAAACAGCAACACCAGAAAGTTCATGTTTTATTAGAGTTCAGTGTTTATTGATCATGTGACCAATGAAAACCTAGTGGACAGACGAGGCCCTGTTTTATTCAGACCTGCACATCCTAAACTTTTTTCCCCATGTTTTCTTTACCCGCCTCCTGACAGACGAGACCCGACCAATCAACTTACTTGATGCACGGCTCTGTGTAGGAGACGTTAACGTGTTCTGCTCATCCGTGACTTTACCGTCCACCTCAACTATGTTTTACAGTTTAATTTCACTTTAAATTCCAAAAACTGAACTCCATCAACTTCCTGACAAGATAAAAACCTTTAACCTCCACGCTAAAGGTCTCTGCCCCCCATGGCACCACGGTACAAGATCTCTGCCCCCCATGGCACCACGGTACACAGTCTAACTGAGGAGGTCTCACTCTGTCCGTCAAATAGGACGCTGCGTTTCTTACGTGACATTTCTTTGCAATCCTTTCACAAATTCTATAACGGGAATATAAGGATAAATGAAGCGTTCTGATCAGACTGTCCTGATGGATGTAGTCGTGGTTCTGTCGGTCAGCTGCGGCTCCACATGTTAACAGGTGACTTTTTCAAAACAACTCTCTGTTTGCTGAGATAAATTCACACAGACTGCAGATCATCATGAGACTCATTACACACAACACACTCGTCCTTGTCTTTGTGTGTCTCCTGTTGCTGATGTCATCGGTGTGTGACGAAGATGAATGTGTCGCTGTGTCGGCCATGTTGGATCAGCTGCAGACAAACTGTGTCTCTTTGTGTTTCAATTCAATTATGTTGATTTTTCTGGAATCCAGAACAACAAGCAGGAATTCAACTTCTCCTGCTGCAGCGCCAAACAGATCTTTAACGTCCAGATCATGTGCAACGTCCAGCTAATAAAAAGTATAATCAGGAAAATGTACTTAAAAAAGTGCCATCCTCAACCAACAGGCCACCTGCAACATTATTAACAATCAGAGCCGGAGCGTCCTATACGTGCACTACGTAAATGAAGCAGGACCTCGTGTCAGTGTTTACAATTTTGAAGAGAAGATGAAGAATGATTATCGTTCTGGGCACAAGAAGAGAACGAGCTCAGACTGACCAGCAGTCAGGTAAACTGTTTCCTCTCCATGTGTGATGTCAGCAGATCACAGTGACGTCTCTCTCTTGCCAGACTTTGTGTCTGACCTCTGTTAGAGTGAAATACAGCTATTTATTACGTTTGATAACCGCCAGCGTGCAGCTGTGTTTATAAACTGCAGCTCGGAAAAGATAACCGGCTCGTGCGTGAACACGCGTACATATATATATGAGCGTGCACAATTGTGCATTCCAGCGGCGACATCTGTGAGAGCCAGTCCAGACAGAATACGGGCCTGACGGCACTCCTCAGATCTGTCTCCATCTCAAGGTTGAGTTACAACTCTGGATATTTGCACAATGGAGAGCAATGGATTTACATTGACTACTGACTGTTAGTCAGTATGATTAGCGGGGGAGTCTGGGAAATCTGGACGCGCATCTCTCAGTAAATAAGCACCACGTATTCAGTCGAGTCCTAGTTTATATTTGAAAATGTATTAAAGGAAACCTGGGGGCCAGTTTGAAGGGGCCTGATGGAGCTGATAACATTAATATCTGGCATGGATTGTTATCTATAATTTACAGTTTGGGAGTAGAGTAGATGCTGGATCATGGGCCAGTACAAGCACAGAACCAGTATAGATATCTTTAACAAGTCCCACAGACCCAGGTGAAGTACAGCTGCCATCAGCCTAACTGACCTGGGCTCTGAGATCATGTTGTTTTATGTAGTCCTGTATTTGTTGCTGTCCCTGTGGCCCAGTGAAGGCGTGTTAGGGGTAAGTGCTGATTATCCGTGCTTTGATTCCTGTATAAGCTCCAGGGAGAGATCCTACAAATCCAGCTACTCTGCCATTTCCCTTTTCTTCCCCAAATTATTTTGTCCTTTTAACATGTTTTCCAACCGTTTGTTTTTCTCCCCACAAGGTCTCGTTAGGTTTGTTCAAATTGTCAAAGAAATCTTGGTTCAATTTTGAAGTGAGTTCCGGTAGGCCTCTGTTTGGTGTCCAGGCCACAGAAACCGCCGTGTTAGGGAAAACTTTTGGGGATCCGGAGAGCCAGTCACAGTTCAGGTCAGACAAATATCGCTTATGTCTTACGAAATGTCTTTCAGTACATGACCCCCTGTCAGCCACAACAACCAGAAGGCAGCAGCAGATGGTGGGTCTACGGAGAACAGGATGGAGCTGCAGAGTGATCCGGTTCTGCACAATGGGTGAAATTTGAACACCAGACCTTTTGGCTTGTTGCCTGTCACTGTAGGACGAACTGCGCCTCTTCCACTGGTGAGTACATGCACGCCATTTTGGTTGGAAGCACTAGCATACAGATGCCCTGTGTGTGTGTGTGTGTGTGTGTGTGTGTGTGTGTGTGTGTGTGTGTGTGTGTGTGTGTGTGTGTGAGAAACATTTGGTTTGCATTCACTCCACACTGAGAGATGGGGGGGGGGGGGGGGGGGTGATCTGGATGGAATACAGTTCTCCTTGTGTTAATCTTCATAAACCAAATTAAATCTAACTGACCACCACACACTGTCTAAACAATTCCACCTTAAAAAGACAAACTGTTGGTACACTGTGCCCCCCCGAGGATTAAAAACATGATGCAACGCTGAAGGCATGAGTGACATCAGACACAGAAACCCAACCCAAACTAAATATTTACTGCAGATCTACAGTTAACATGGAGACACAAAATAACATAAAGCCTGAGATGATTCAATGCTGAATTTAAATATCTGACTGTGGGACTTCATGCTTTCTGTTCCTCAGGAGAACCAGCTGCAAAATAAAGACGCACATCAAATACAAAGAGTGGTTGGTGGCAGATCAAGGATCAGGACATCCGTACTTCAAACTGGACCAGAGGCCCCAGACACCTCGGGCCCCAGGGCTTGTTCATGGAACAATCCTGATTACATGTAAAAAAAACAAAAACACGTCTACAGCATCAGTACATTATACAGCAAAGAGAGAGAGGGAGAGTATCTGCAGCTCTGTAACACGGACTCACTAAACTGAACATTTCTGATGACAGATCTGTGCTGCTGTTTACTGTCGCCACAATGACCATCTGCAGAGAGTTGACTGGATGACAGAGAACCTTCACAGACATCTATTTCTTTGTGATTAAGAACTCTGAGTTGCAGATTCAGTCAAATAGCCCAACTGAAATAAAACGCAGAAACTAGACATTAAAACATTTTGCCCAATGAAGTCTTAACACATGCTCGAGCCGATTTGTGACTACTACTAAAAAAGAAACAGACAGATGTTTCCCTCAGGTCATGAGTGTTGCATAGTTTGCCCACCAGAGGGCGCACTGCCTCGATACGAAACAAAAGAGTGAGCTGACCGGAGTCGACGGAGCGTGCACAAACAGCAGCGTGTTTAATGCTACAGTCGGCGAGCGCTGGAGGTTACGCTGCTGACAGACCTGACCGTAGATTTACAGGGGGACAGTTCTACTGAACGGTCCCCTCATTTCTCTCAAGTTCATCACTTCAAAGTAATTCACGTGTTTATCAGAGGAGGAGCGGCAACATTAAAGGCGGTTAAAGTAAAGTTTTTAACGAATTCTAAATATATCTGCCATTGTCTGCCATCCCTGCAAGGCTAGTAAGTAGGAACGATGGAGCAGCGGAGAGAGAGGACGACCCTGAACAAGTTCAGGTCAAGCAGCGTACAGCAGAGTGGACATTTCACAGCAGCACTAGGGTGACGCACGAGCATCTTAAACACGAGCACCCTGGAGCCGTTGCGTTTTTAGCGACCGCTTGGTGGTTAAGCCAACTGGCTGTAATGTAAAGTTTGTTAGTGTACCTGTCAGAAAACAAGGTGCCGGCCAAGAGAACGGACCACGAGGACCACCTGCACATTTTAGACACAGAGGACAGATGGTCAAGGAATCCATTTACAGCCGGGTCCAGAAACTGTCGCTTAACGGGGGAGGAGGTCTGAGACACCACTTATCTTCCTCCAACAACCGTCCTCTCATCTCTTCCCAGGAAACAAAACTAACGTTCTCTTTTGGCCTCAGGTGGCTCCAACGACCATAAACCCTGTCGTTACAACATCCAGGAGCCCTAACGACCCAAACAGTTCTCCAAAGAAGGTTCACAGAGACAGACTCACCAGAGTCCACACGGACAGACTCACCAGAGTCCACAGAGACAGACTCACCAGAGTCCACAGAGACAGACTCACCAGAGTCCACACAGAAGACTCACCAGAGTCCACACAGAAGACTCACCAGAGTCCAGAGAGACAGACTCACCAGAGTCCACACAGAAGACTCACCAGAGTCCAGAGAGACAGATTCACCAGAGTCCTCAAAGAAGACTCACCAGAGTCCACACAGAAGACTCACCAGAGTCCACAGAGACAGACTCACCAGAGTCCACAGAGACAGACTCACCAGAGTCCACACAGAAGACTCACCAGAGTCCACACAGAAGACTCACCAGAGTCCAGAGAGACAGACTCACCAGAGTCCACACAGAAGACTCACCAGAGTCCAGAGAGACAGATTCACCAGAGTCCTCAAAGAAGACTCACCAGAGTCCACACAGAAGACTCACCAGAGTCCACAGAGACAGACTCACCAGAGTCCACACAGAAGACTCACCAGAGTCCAGAGAGACAGACTCACCAGAGTCCTCAAAGAAGACTCACCAGAGTCCACAGAGACAGACTCACCAGAGTCCACAGAGACAACTAGAGATTTAATATCTGCAGAATTAACACAGTGATGTCACTCTGTCTACAGGAAATGAGTCATTCAGTTTGCTGCTGATGACATCACAGTTGCTTTACTGCCAAATGGATGTGTGCGTGTATGTGTGTATGTGTGTGTGTTTGTGTGTTAGTGTGTGTGTGTGTGTGTTAGTGTGTGTGTGCGTGTATGTGTATGTGTGTGTGTGTGTGAACATCATCAGACGTGCAGAATTCAGTTTGAGGACTTTGAAACATGTTGTAAACACGTACACGAGGGCGCGCATGAATCTCCATTATCAGAGAGTCACTTAGTCTCGGGCTGCGGAGAACCATGTGACCCTGAAGACTTGCCGCCGGGTCCTTACTGACCCAATTAAGGGAGATTTGGAAGCAGCATCCTGATTAGTAAAATAAAGTTACACAAAACGTTAAAAAAACGATGTCCGTCTGTTTTTTCAATACATCTCATCACTGACTGACTGGTTCACATTCACACCTGTGAAATGTTCTCTTGGACCGCGACAGTCCGGGACCCCCTGCTGATTGTGCCTGGATTCTTACCACCCAGGTACTGTGAGCGGCCCCCGGGGGACACAGAGGAAGTCTTGATAATATCACAAAGCAGGATTTGATTTCAACCAGAAAGCTGGTTCTGTACAGAGTTCTAAAGAAACCCGCGGGGTTCCCTGTTGACCAATGAAGCTCGTATCTCCAGTGTCTCCTTCGTATGAAATAATAAAAATACTACTTTGTGATGACAGTTTGTGTGTTATTATCACCTGGAAAGTCCTCCAATGGTGCTTTAATAACTTCCGCTCACATATAAAACAAGCCACTAGTTCAGATCAATATCTGTGAGCTCTCTGCAACACAACACAAGGTAGGAAGTAATCATTCTTTATTATATTATTATTATTATTAATTTACCACGACTCCACCTACATGAAGCTACGACACAACTACAGTGAACATTAACTGATAATGTCAGCAGACCAGTCAGAGTGGAGCTGAACCCCACTGGATAAATGAGAAAGGACTGATCCAGAGCAAAATCCTCTCTACAGAAGCATCAGTCAGGACCTCTTTAACACGAGGCCTCCGCATCTCATCAGCCACACGGGGACGTCTACAGAGCGTGGAGCCGGAAACACTGGATCCAGCAGTGACCCTGAAGACCTGCACGGTGCTGCAGAAACCCAATCGTCCACTAGGAGGCGCTCAAGGCTGTAATGCTGGTAACAGCGACCGGGGTGGGGATGTTAAAGCACGGACAGGTACAGCGACAGCAACACACCTGCTGGTGATCTGGACCGTCTCACACCTGCTGCTGAATCACCGTGTGAACAAAGTGACCTGAGCAGACAGACACGGGGGGCAGTGAGACCCATCTGAGCAGATTAAAGCAGTTTGTGAGGAAACAAGGAAGGAGGAGAATTAAGAAAATGATTTTAGATCAAAATAAACTCAGGTTGTCTCGTTTCTAACCCTCTTTTATTAATTATATTCCTGTTTTCCAGCCGGTGGTGAGAACCGCGGAGAACATGAGGAAGGTCACAACCTCCTCATCATCACACAGCAGACGGTTCACTGCTTCATGTTCGTCAGCATTTATTCAGCCCCTCTGTTTCTGCTGTCACCCTCTCACAACAGGAAACACCTTTCGCTGTTACACGTTGTTTCCACTGCGACGGAAACGTTCTGTCAACAGAACCCGACCGTCACGAGATCAAAGCGGTTCTGATCCGCATCAGGACGTAATAACTGTACAGGAAGTGCTGTCAGAATAAAACTCAGTCATTGGAGAGCAGGAAAGAGTTCTCAGGTGTTCTCTGTGGAAATGATCTGCATTCACACATTATGCTGCTTTTAGTCCAGTGGTTCTCAAAGTGGGACCCCCAGGGGTTCCTGAGGGGGTTCCAGGGTGTCCCCAGCAAAAAGGTGAATCATTTCTTTTGGTTATAACTCGAACCGAGAAGTTTCCCAGTGACAGATTAACGTCTAAAGCCTGATCAGACGGGGCCCGGGGCCAAGTCTGGTCTCTGTTCAGGGTCCTTGATGGAAAAACGTTTGAGAACCGACATGCCACCGGTTCACACACACCCACCTGAGGGCCGCGTGCCAGCTGCTCATCAGGAGCGGTCAGGAGAACCAGGAACCTTCTGGTTACCAACGCAGAGGATCATGGGAATGTTTGAACATGAACTTCATGAACGTACACCTAAAACTAGATTTAATCAGCTGATTCATTTCACATGGTTACCATGGAAACACAGCTGTCCTGTGACATCACCAGGAACAGTTGGACCTGCAGTATCAGACCGGGATTCAAACCGGCACCCTCCTGACACTTCCTGTCCACTCTTTCACAATAAAACATCTGGTGCGTGCACAGAGACTCTTCTGCGGAGAGATCACCAGACCCTGACGTCACCTCCTTCATCTCCACCCTCATCATCATCAGGCTTTCCGTGCACGTGTCAACCTACCTGTGTCTGCTGGCGGCGCGAGCTCCGTGCGCGTGCGCGCCGGCGTACAGACTATAAGCGGGTCGCAGCGGGAACGCGCTCTTGGCGTACGCGCAGGTCCAGAGCGCGAGCAGCAGCAAGAGGCGCGCGGCCATCCCGCTGATCAATACACGATCAATACAGAGTATTGGTACTCGATCAGAGAGGGATCAGCTCCTCAACTGGCGGGAAAAACTCCCATCTCCATGGAGACAAAAATAAAAGTTTCCACGCAGTCCGTCCTAATTCCCCATGATCCGGATTCTGATCCGAACACCCAGAAACCAGACCTGAAACAGAGCCCAGTCTCCTTTGATCCGCTCCGGGTCCCACTCCGGGTCAGGGTCCTGCTGGTCCTCCGCCTTTAATCCGGGTTTAGTCCAGTTTTAATCCGGTTCGACCCGGTCAGAGTTCGTCCATCAGAACTTCTCAAGTGAAACAAAGAAAAGAAGAAAACGTTGCGACAGACTGAACCAGGACCAGCTGCTGCTCCTCCTCTTCATCACCGCCCAGCCGAACTGTCCCCGCCCCTCCCGGAGGAGAAACCAGACACGTGCAGCTCCGCGCCCACACCTGCACCGGCCAGGCCTGAGAGGACCGGTCCAGGTTTCATTGATACCCTGTTAAAAAGGAACCTGCTTCTGTTCAGACTGTGATTCTGACATTCAGAAGACTTTCTTCTGTCCGGACTGAAGGACCAGTCCGCTGCTCGTCTGGACTTTATTATTGGCAATAAATCCCAACAGCGTGTTTGACGTCACTTTGTGTTGAAAGTGGGGGGACATCAGGGCTCAGATCAGGGCCGTGATGATACACGAGAACCAGACCAGAAGAGGTTTAACACGGTTTTGAAGAAATAATAATAATAATAATTATTATTAATAATAAGAAAAAGAAGAAATACTGCTGAAATACAAGCTGGGGGTCTGAGGGTCCTCCCCCAGAAAACTGGAGCATTAAAAACTTAATTTCCTGCAATCTGGAGACATTTTCTGCTCCGATTTAAGGTGGAAATGTATTTTTTATATGAAGGCAAACAAAACGAGAAAATCAGCTGGCAGGTGACAGCTCATAATAAAAAAAGCCAACAGAATAAAATGCAGTAATCAACAGCTTGTTTTTATGGTAATTTACTTTTTTTTTAGACAATGCACATTTGTTTCTTCTATATTTAAATTTTAGTGCCTGTTCTTGTGCAAATAAACCTTTCTCAAAGCAATTTCATTTGTTATTTAACATTTCTTGGTGCAAACTGCATAGTAGAAAAATCAGCCATTTCCAGATGCAGTGGGGACACGTCCCCAGTGTCACTACATTACATGTATTCATTTAGCTTTTATCCAAAGAGACTTAAAATTGCTACACGTATCAGCAGCTATGTAGTTCACATGTTTCTCAGTGAGACTTTCTGAATAATTAAACACCTGTAAATATAAAACTTCACTAATGAAATGATAATTAACTGTGTAGCACTTTACAGCCCCTTGACAACATGGTAATACTTTGATAATAAAGACATAATAATTAAATAGCTTGGTATTAACGGTGGTAACATCAGCCAGGAAACGATGCAACAGGGTGATAAGAGGAATAATGTGGAAACACATTTAAAAAGCAACGAGGCAAAACTATTTGGAAACATTATAGTAATATTTTGGTAACAATGGATTTGGATTAAAACGTGGGAATAAGGGGACATTAATGGGGTAATAACCAGATAATAAAGAGGTAATATAAGTTAATGTTTTCACAACATTACAGGTGACTATCAGCGTGATGCCTTCAAAATCACAGGAAAATTCTTAGCTATCAAAATTGGTATTTTATTAAATATTACTTATATAATCCTGCCTCATGTTCTAAACAAGGTAATACTGTACAAATGTTCTGTTTGTTGCTCTGGTAACCTGGAAAAACCTTTGGTACTTTCTGTGTAATAGCCATGAATCATGCCAGAGTTTCCCAGTAAATCTAAAAGCACTAAAAATATAATTTGTACATCATTACCTTGGAACAACAGACTGTAACTGTAACAGAGACTACTTGATCTATCTGAACACTAAACTATAATAACTAATCCTAAATGAATTTCACCTGAACTTCAGAAGTTTATACCACAATAGTTATGTTGTATGAACAGGGGTGGTGATGGTACAGTGGATAAGACGCCTGCGTTCAATTCCCCACTGTGACCCGTCCACCAACTCGTCCCTGAGCAAAGCACTTAACCCCTCGTAGATCCAGATCCAGGCGTGCGACCTCTGACATACAGTATATAGCAGCTGTACGTTGCTGTGGATGAAAGCGTCAGCTAAATGTAGAAATGATTACACACACTACTCTTTACATCGTGCCAAACATCGATAACACCGAGGCGAGAAAACATCCTGCAGACTTCCTGAGGTCAAAGGAAGTTTTATATCTGCTGCTCCTTAAAATAAACCAGTTAAGCAGACCTCTTCCACACACAGCAGATAACAGTGGAAGCTGCAGTCTCTCTGGTGATAACAACTTGCTCTACTACATTCAGTCACCGTGTCCCGGCCGGCTCATTGGTCCGGACTCTCTGGCCAGTGTTCAAAACTGCTAAAGGAAATGTGGAAACCAAAGAGAAAACAAGACGGGGAAGCCGCCGCCACTCTTCAGTTATGGAAGCAACACTTACTAACTCCTGAAACTGAATGCTATAACACCGAGGGACCGGTGATGGACAGTTTCAAACAAAGAGGAACCAGAGATACACGTTTTTAACTCCACACATTCTTTTTGCCTTATCAAAACATGGTACCCACAATGCAACTCTCCCTCTGACAGCTGTGTGTGAGATTGTGGTGTGTTAGGCTATTAGCGGCTGCTGTAGCTTGCAGCAGAGAGTCTGAGTCTTCTTTCTGACTGCACACCAACAGATGAGATTCAGACTCGTAGTCTTCAGCCGACGCCGACTCAAGTGGCATCGAGGACATTTATCAGACGCCGCACAGCTCCCTCTGAGACACTGAAGGCTTCATACTACTTTTAAAACGTGCAGTAGAACTGGCTGAGGTGGACTGACACTCGGGTTAATCATATGATAAAATTTCTGTTCTGTTTAAGCATAATAAATTCTGTTCAGTCTGTTTTCGGAGGACTTTAAAGTCTAAACATGGAGAGAACAGCAGACGAGTCGACACCTGGCCAAACTCCGATAACAGCGCTGATGTTTTTATCCTAATAAGAACAACAGAACGAGACAGTAAAAACAAGAGTCTACAGGGGAAATATTCTTTATCAGATCTCATAAATCATGTGGAGACCCCCCCTCAGGCCCCACCCTCCACGGGTGGAGGGGCAGACCACCCAGACTCCATCACTCACACTAACCACTGTTTTCAGTTTTATGAGGTTGTTTTCAAAATGGAGCTTTTGTATTAAACACATTCCAGAGTCAGAGCCTCAGGTGAGACACAGAGACAGTTTATCAGCTGCAGTCTCTCTTTTACAGATCCACAGAGAACCACACATCTCCAAACACCACAGTCTGAAAACAACATGTTTAAACTTGAATTCTTTTCTCCTTTTGCAAGGTGGTGATATTCAATGTATGTCATCTATTTCCTTCATGTACTCATTGTGTTTGTAATACGGCTCCCAGTCCATCTGTCTGCTCACTGAAGACGACATCTCTTACATGAAGTTGGGTAAAAAAGACTGACTTGAATCTGAAAACGTGAACTTGCCGAATGTGTGAGTGGAGCTTTGCTGCAGGAGCAGAGCGTTTGGGTTCATTGAAATAGAAAACTAAAAGCAGCAGATACTCGTACGTACCTGTCTACGCCACAGAAGAAGACAGAGGGAGCTGTGAGTAAGAAGCTGTTTCTGGTGGATCTGCTCATCACGTGTGTCAGTGTGCGGCAGATTTATATAAAATACAGACACTGAAAGAACCTGCTCATCGAACTCAGCTTCAGAGATTCTACTTTAAACTCCAGTGGAGCTCGGTTCTAATGAAGCGAAGCAGATATGTTCCTTAAAACGTTTCTGCATTAAGTTGATAAACATCCAGACACTCAACAATGACCCCAGAGGTCTGTAGGACCAGTCTGAATCACTATCTTCGGGGCGGCTGTGGATCAGGAGACAGAGCGGGTTGCCTGTTAATCGGAAGGTCGGTGGTTCAGTCCCCGGCTCCTCCAGACTCTGCTGGACTCTACTGGACTCTGCTAAATGCCACTGGACTTTATAGGAATCTGCTAAACTCCACTCGATTCCACTCGGCTAACCTCAACTGGACTCGGCTAAATGCCACTGGACTCTATAGGACTCTGTTAGACTCCACTCGGCTAAACTCCACTGTACTCTGGAAAACCCAATTGGACTTGGGTAAACTCTACTGGACTTCGCTAAATTTCACTGGACTCCATTGGACTCTTACTGGATTCTGCAAAACTCTACTGGACTCTTACTGGACTCTGCTAAACTCCACTGGACTCTGCTAAACTCTACTGGACTCTTACTGGACTCTGCTAAACTCTACTGGACTCTACTGGACTCTACTGGACTCTGCTAAACTCCACTGGACTCTTACTGGACTCTTACTGGACTCTGCTAAACTCCACTGGACTCTTACTGGACTCTGCTAAACTCTACTGGACTCTACTGGACTCTGCTATACTCTACTGGACTCCGCTAAACTCCACTGGACTCTTACTGGACTCTGCTAAACTCTACTGGACTCTGCTAAACTCCACTGGACTCTTACTGGACTCTGCTAAACTCTACTGGACTCTGCTAAACTACACTGGACTCTTACTGGACTCTGCTAAGCGCCACTTGACTAAAAACAGAGAGAACAGAGAACAAAGAGAACTGAGAAGAGAGAGCTGAGAGACCAGAGAAAACAGAGGTCAGAAAACAGTGAGAACAGAGAACAAAGTACAGATAGACCAGTGAGACCAGAGAACTGAGAGAAATGAGAGAACTGAGAACCTAGACCAGATAATTGAGAAGAGAGACCAGAGAACAGCTAGAACAGAAAGAACAGAGAGAACAGCTAGAACAGAGAACAGAGAATAGAGAGAACACAGAACAGAGAGAACACAGAAACAAGAGACCACAGAGAACAGAAATAACAGTTAGAATAACGAGAACAAAGAATAGAAAGAACAGAGACAACAGTGGACACAGAACAGAGAGGACAGCGAACAAAAGGCAAGAGAACAGAGACAACAGTGAACACAGAAGAGAGAGAACAGAGAGAACAGCGAACAAAAGGACAGAGAACAGAGACAACAGTGAACACAGAACAGAGAGAACAGCGAACAAAAGGACAGAGAACAGAGACAACAGTGAACACAGAACAGAGAGAACAGAGAGAACAGCGAACAAAAGGACAGAGAACAGAGACAACAGTGAACACAGAACAGAGAGAACAGCGAACAAAGGACAGAGAACAGAGACAACAGTGAACACAGAACAGAGAGAGCAGAGAGAACAGCGAACAAAGGACAGAG